TTTGCTTATAACCCCAATTAAGGGACGACTCCAAGTAGGGGTTTAGGGTTTGGGTTTTGGGTGGTCGAAGGGCTCCCGTTAGGTTTGTTTTGCGGCTTCCCTTCAAAGACCCCCTTCAAGCCTAAGCCCTAAACTCGAACAGTACCGTGATAGAACCCTTGCAGGAGCCCCTTCCCCTTTAAGGGGGTTCCCTTAAGGATTCTCTAGGCTCTATGCTAGAGGATCTAAAATACGCAGCTTGCCAACTGGGGTTTATATAAGTAGCCTACTTGGGCTCAGCCTCCTGCTTCTGACCTATACCTGGGCCTGCGATTTACTCATAGCCAGATACCGGGGCATCATCTTAAAGTTACGGCGTTCTACATGGTTTTAACTGGGCTTCTGACACTCGAAGATCCCTTCTTGCGTATTGGCGGCGGGGGGGGGGGGTCATGCTTAAATTGGGTCCTGGTATTTAGGGTTCATTGTGAGGTCCGCCGATGGTTTTCTGAAATATTATGTGAGAGCTTGTAACCAGCGCTGCAGGGCGAAGGGACTATGGAAATCATGATAACTTTCCTCCGGGTACCCGAAACCTGAACCCGAAACCCAAAACGTCATGAGCCCTAAAACCCAAACCAGACATGGCTTGATTCTACCCTAAACCCTAAACCCTAAACACGAAAGTAGTATACTCTTCTCATGCAGGGTTCCCCACAAGAAACCCAAAACTAGAAGTTCGTCGGCTATGTAGACAAACCCTAAACCCTAAACGGCCCTAAACCCTTTGCCGGGTATTTGTGGGCTTCAGGATTGCCAGCATTTGGGGTTTCATTTTTTGGGTCCCTGTTTTCTGGTTGAGGGTCTTGTTTTGTTTTGGTGCAAGGCTGACTTACTTGATGTTTCGATGGATTTGCTGGCCCCCTGTTGTTGGAGGGTAGGGCCGGTTTCGAGCAGGTTCTATCCGGTTTCCGAGTAGGTTCCTTGGTTGAACTTTACAGTCACTTTATAGCTTTATCACTTTTAGGATTAGGCTTTTTGGACATTAGGGTTACTAAAAGTTATAATTTTAGCAAGGTAATGAAGAGCAACCCAGGTTCTATCTTGTTAACGCCATGGGCTCCGCACCACCATGGAACCTCATGCCACGCACACACCCGCCTGATGTCATAAGTGCAGACGTTCAGCCCTTCATGCTGGACCCTGGCGAATTTGGGAAACCCGAATACGGGGTCCTCCACTTGCTGACTACAATCTTTCAGATGCTTGTATCAATGTTTTTTTTGCAGCAGACCCACAAAGTGGGGTTCCCAGGCCCAAGACGGACTACTTCAGCCCTAACCAGCTTCCCCTACAGCCAAAAGCCTAAACCCTACATCCTCAAAGCCAGACCGGCTCGAGCGATTTGGGCCCACTCGAAACATGCCGGCAAAGGTGCGAGCCTGAAGTCTCAGCGCAGGCGGTCGGGGTCAGAATCTGAAAAGATCCCGAAACCCTCAACACCAAGCCCTACACCTCGAATGGGGGACGTACCCCAAGCCCTAAAATCTAACCTCTCTTTCCTTAACCCAACACCCTAAAACCCTAAGGCCCTAACCCCTCGAGTAGAGGCCCCAGGGCTCATGTACCGATACCTAGCAGTGTTTTAGGGTTTAGGGTGCGGGGTTTAGGGTTTAGGGTGTAGAGAGTAGCTAACCTTCAACCTATCTGGGCCACTACAATCTCTGTATAATCCCAATCTACTCCTAGAGGCTAACCTTTAGTTCTTAAGAATAGTGGACAAGTAGGTCAAGGAACTTAGATTTTAATTACCACAAGGCGATGTTTAGCAAAAATAGCGCTTCCTTAAGAAAAATACTAACTTAATTTAAGTTCCTTAACAGCAACCCATCCTGCAGACCGGTCCCCCTACCTGAAAAGGGACTTAGAGCAGGCATCCTAATGCCAGGACGGTTTTGGGGTTTAGCCCTAAACCCGAAACCCTAAACCCTAAATCCTGGGCCCTTCAGGAAAGAGGGTTTACCCATCAGGGCTCGCATTCGTAGGTACTCTTGGACCCCTATTGCGGTTCCGACATAGAGAGTGTAGGGGTAAACGTATACTATGCAGCTGCATGGGCCCTCTAGGAGAACTTGGCACCTAGGACCACGAAAATGAGCGCCAAAGCCCTAAACCCTAAACCCTAAACCCTAAACCCTAAACCCTAAACCCTAAACCCAGGTTGTAGGTTTGCAAGAAGCACTTAGGGCGCATGTGAACAGGAGCCTTCAGGTTGTCAAAGATTTGCGGTTCCATGTTACCCTAAAGCCACTAAGCCCTGAACCCCTAAAGCCCTAAACCCTAAACCCTTAACCCCTAAACCCCAACCCCCCCCTAAAACCCTAAGCCCTAAACCCCTAAACCCCAAACCCCCCCAAACCCTATACCCTAAACCCAAAGCCCCGAAGAACCCTAAACCCCTAAATCCTAACCGGGTACCCGCAGTTTCAGGACCCTAGATGTCCCGGGCCACATATTGTATAGGCGAAGCTCGCCCCACAAACTGCAGCACCCGTAGGGTTTAGAGTGTAGGGTCCGCGATTTAGGGTTCAGGGTGTAGGGTCTCGAATTTCGGAGCCTCGGGCTTTGGGTTTCGGTTGTAGGTGTTTAGGGGTTCGGGTTTGGGGTTTAGGTGTTTAGGGGATTGGGTTTAGGTTTTAGTGGATAGGCTCATACCAGAGTTAGCTCACATACTAAAACCGACGCTCACCACACCTTCCCTAAACCCTAAACCCTCACCCCAAAACCCCAAAACCTAAACCCCAACAAACAAAAATCGACACCTTGGCACCTTCATTACGAAGCCGATGCAAGCAGAAAGCTGCTAAACCCTAAACCCTAAACCCTAAACCCTAAATCCTAAACCCTAAATCGCCAACTCCGATTGTTTGTGCAACTCCCATAACGTACACCGTACACATGTATAGACTTATCAGTACATAGGTTTATAAGTAAACAAACTGCATGATTAGTTGAAGGAAGATATGAGTATGTATGTATGTATGTATGTATGTATGTATGTATGTATGTATGTATATATAAAAAGTACCAGAGGCCGCCGCAAGTGCACAGCACAGAAGCCTCTTTCTGTTCGAATGCCCTCCTGACTCAAACGCCTTGAACTATGCGGCTTAAGTCGGGGGAAATCTCAACCCTCAACGACTCGCAAAGCCTCGTACAGAGGCCTAAATGACTAC